GCTTCTCCTTTATTGTGAAGCTTGATTCCACTTAACAACTATTGTCACAAATGAACATAAATCATGTTACACATACTTACTACACTCATTCTGAAATTAAGAATCTCTCATATATTTTTCAGGAATTTCACGTGTAATGTAAAAATAATAATGGTAGTACATAAAATGATATATTCATTCGCGAGTGTATTTTGTAAATTATCGTTTTTTTTTGTCGAATTTTCGTTTTTGAAATAAACACGAACAAATTTTCAAATCATGTTGTTCTTTCTCAACATCAATCATCTCTAGAAGAACATAATGTTAACTTATCATAAATCTAATATATATTTTTTAGTACATTTATTAAGATAACATTAATTTTTTACAAGTTTTTATGTAACATCTCAAAAATACAGTCCAAAACTATATAATAGAATAATCACATTAATTAATAATTCAGATCAGTCTTTACACTAAAATAAAACCAAACGCACGTTTACGGCCGAACGACCTTACAAAAGAGTGATTGTAAACTATATAAGATAAGCAAACCTGACCGAACGGTTTACAAAATCTATACAGAATGGTCAAAATAGCTCAAAAGGGGAAAAGTGATCGAACGACCGCCTTACAATAGACTACTCTTCAGTCTTCACTTCTACCTCGATCAAATTTTTTTCTTCCAGCGCCTCTTTCAGCAGCTCGTCTCCTTCTGCTCACATCCACACGGATGATCATTGCAATGACAAAGACGGACGTACCAAACCAGACAGGACAGGAAAACACAGGGTAAGCTTATATAATTTAATTCAAATATAAACATACAATTCTCACATTCAAACACATAAGATATATTTCATCATACGTTTCAAGCAAGGCCTAATACTAGACTAACTGTCCGGACTGTATGAAATTTGTGTAGCTACGACATTCGTGCACCCGAGTGATGTAGTAATTGGAATACCCTCATCAGCTGCCACCCGAGGTTAGTCCTATCTGTCCAAAGTAACCCTAAGGACTAGGACCTCCTGTCGTTCCCACACATGACCTACTCCCCTCTACATGAGGACGAGAACTCACGGAACATCAGGATGAACCGCCAGCTTAGCATAACCACATTCATACTTTACAATTTCAATATTCATTCACGAGTCGTTCCTCCCTGGAACGCTCGTTCATAATCCACAACATTTCATCCATCTCATATTTTCTTCATCTTTCATTATCAATCGTTTAAATTCCATCTTTGTTTAAGGATTATCAAGGACATCAAATACCGTACGTTCCACCCTCACTCAGAACAAGGACGACACTTGGAACGAGTCAGAGAAGTCTCCCGTTCCAGAATAGAATAAGACCGAGAGGGTTACTGTCAGGTTGAGGAAGAAACCGAGTACAACTATATGTCACAAGAACGAACATTACGTACAACATGAGTCAGTTAAGTGAACTGACTCTCGTGAGCTCAAACCAAACTCCTCAAAGAACATGACAAGTACTAAGGCTCTAGGCCGGAACCAATGAATGTAGACACGTCAAGACGTTTAAATAATCATACTTAGAAGAATTCACGTAAAGAAACCTAATGCCAGTCAATGACCGAACACGGTAGAGGGAAATTCTATTGAAGTTGGACGAACACTATTTTCATCAAGATAGATCATACCATAAACGAGTACGAGCGCTTGGTATAAGACCGAACACTACTCATTACGAGCGCTTGGTGTGAGACCGAGCACTACTAAGCTTATAATAGAAGGCTTAATAAATATAATAATATAATATTGGAATAGTGTTTAAGAATAACTAAAATATACAAATACATATATTTACACAATTTAAGTTTATCATAGAATACTCAGATGCAATTACGCTTGGCCGAACGCTCAAGCATAGTATTACCACACGAAGACGCTCGTCCTCAACTAGGATTCTTCCCAAATGAAAGAATCCAATTCTAACCAAGATTACTAAAAAATACCGAACAGTCAATGACCGTTCAGTGACGAACACACCCTTTCATAGGGGAAATTTCATACCAGAATTATTTATATTTCAACTCATTTCTTAACATATAGTTTCATAACTTTATACATTCATATCATAATCAATTTTCATATTTCATACCATCCAAACATAGAAATTTCATATATTTCATGCATCATAACATAGCACAATCATTTTTCATATCCAATCAAATCAACAAACATTCATGCAACACATAATCATACGAATTAAATTAATAAGCTTCCCTTACCTCTGAGCGTGAACGATCGTCCTAGTGACAGAATACGGTTCGTCTGACTACAGATCCTTCTACCCTTACGTTCCACAACTCTTCAAACTAACCAAACAGCCAAAAACCAATAATGGTTCAGACAAGATAACAGCATGCAACCGGTACTTGGTTTGCATGTACCAGAGAACGAACGACTAAGGAAAAGAAAAACTTACCAGTT